ACATTGCGTTGCTTAAATAAATTTCTCATCACCATAATCGTCTGGAATTTTTCATCCCGTTTTGGTTACGCCTAGCTGTTCAGCATCAGTGTAAGTATATACTGTGAACGGTCTTCATTTCACTCCCACACACGAGCGTCAATAATCAGCCTGTGTCACTATCTGTCTAACTCCCTGTAACCTGAGCCCTCTGTGATGTCACTTCCTGCCAGTCAAGCGCTCCACCTCAGCCCCTACTCGTGTTGCAGCCGCTCTCAGGTTACACTGCGCCGTCTCATGCATTTTGGGAAATGAAGGTGTGTAGCAAGCTAAGGTCAAGACCCTAAACCCCGGCTCCCATCTCACTGCGGAAAATTCCGGCACCGGGAATGAGTGGCATCCCAGCCAGCTGACGTGCTTCAGACGAGCGGCGTATGTTATTTATGAAGTCAAGGCTACTGGGAGGGAGGGACCTTCAGGAGTTGTTGACTCGGAGCGAACGAGCCACCAAAACAGAAGTTGTGAAGCAAGAAGGAGGGACGAATGAACGGGTTGAGCGCGAGCTCCCACATCTAGGATTACAGAGAATAGTGGAACTGTGTTTGCCCTCCCTGCCACGGGATAGGCAGAGGACGGGGTGCACGGGACGCAGGGGTGCAGGGCAAGATTATGGGACAGGGAGCCAGCACTCAAACTTTAAACCCGAACCCTGCCTACATAACAGGTGAGTCCCTTCAGAGAAGACATGGATTCCTGAGTATGAAGATGATGGGATGCATTTAACCGGCTTTCTCACGGTTTGTTTGAAAGCCAGACCTGTTTTGCTTCTTCCGCTGGAGGGAATCTGGTCTTCTTGCGTATGCGTACTCATGCCAAGTGTACTATTCTGAGCGATCGCAGGTGTACGCTTATCGACGTGAAGGGAGGAGTAAGAGACAGGCATGGGCAGGTGGGGTGAATGTATGCTGTGGACATTCTCATGTTTCTGTCAAGCACGCTTCCTCTCGGATTAGACCTTACCGATGATATGAGAATGTGTAGCGCTCTATAGCAGCTTCTACATTGCTTCTTTTTAATCGTGTATGACCATGTGTTTGGTGCAGGAGTTGTGTGTAGTAGCACTAAAGGAGAAAACCTGTTTGTGCTGTCTGTTGATTCAAGCTGACTCAAGTGGTTTCTTGTTGACGTCGTCTCCAGCTCTGCATACTGTTATATACCGCTCTATAGCAGCTTCTACATTGCTTCTTTTTAATCGTGTATGAACATGTGTTTGGTGCAGGAGTTGTGTGCAGTAGCACTAAAGGAGAAAACCTGTTTGTGCTGTCTGTTGATTCAAGCTGACTCAAGTGGTTTCTTGTTGACGTCGTCTCCAGCTCTGCATACTGTTATATACACACACACACACACACACACACACACACTGTACATCCCTCAGTTTCAGACAATCACCTCCTGATGGCTTATGTTGTTTTAAGGTGTTGCCGTGAATCTTCTGTTTGTTCTCTGTCAAACGGCATCACATGCCATACTCTTTTCTCACTTAACGTTTGATCATTGTAGTAGCGCGATCAGTTCTTCCATTGACTCTTGACCTCTGTGTTTATTTACACACACAGTGTCCTCGACGTCGTTGTGTGATGTCCTCTACCATTATCATAGCTGTACATTACACTCAGTGAGTTCAGGCCGTCGACTCTGATCCGATTCTCACGTATGTCACTGATATGAGAGGAATGCGCAGCCTTCCTGAAACAAAGAGCTCATTGAGGCTGAAGCAGTGCTTTGTAGAAACATTGATTGAGGTTGTGTGTGTGTGTCAGGTGAAGATCAGTGCCTGGTGTTGTTGTGGCCTGTGCTTTGAAAGCGTTACGTTCACTTTCATTACTTTATTATTCTGTTTTATCAAGGTTGTGGTGTCGTGACAATGAGCCACCTTGTTTTCTCTTGTCACTGTGCCCTTCTTTTTTCCAAACAACGGGACAGTAGACCAAGTAGACCTAATTGGCAGACACTTAATGGGTAATGTGTAGGACTTTGTAAATGAAGGTGTATAAGAGTCTGTTTTTGGATGCCATCTCATTGACCAGTCAGAAGTGAGCTTTCATCATATAATTGATATGTACATTTTCACAGAATTTTCATAAAACAATATACGATTTCACAGTCACAGCTAGATTTTAATTGGAGGGGTTTGTAGTTTTTGACTTGAGGGTGTTTTTGTATATCTTCTTTATAGGTTTTTCCACATGCGTAAAGTGTTTTCGTTGGAAAAATCCCATTTTTGAGTGAAGTAAACTAGGTCTGTGTGCTGTCAAACCCTTGCCAGATCAGTTAAGAGCATCTAGGCCAACGGAGCTGCCAAAACCCATAAACATTCCAAAGCGCCCCGTGTGTCATACACAACCTGCCTTGTCTTGTGTCTTCAGACCAGTTTAACGGTCTCTATCTCTCGCTATTCATGCTAAATAGACATCATTTGCACAGTGAATAGCACAGCCTTCTTTGTCAAAACATCCTAGCATTTGTTCAAACAAGGGGAAAATGGCATGTACTGTGGAATCTATGGAGCAAGCAAAGAGGAATCAATAACTTTTTTTTGTATTTAGTATCTAGTAGTAACGTTTTTGTATCTAGTTATGCTTAATTTTACAATTTACTATCCAAATTCAGTCCCATGCAAAACATGCTGGGTACTAGAAATTCCTTGTCCAGTTATGGTGACAATTTTTTTTATGTAGTCCAAAACAAACTGATTAAGTTCACTTTAATTTTATAGATTTAAGCGGATTAAACTTAAATGTTTTATCACAATTAAATTAAGCCCAGACATGACGGCAAGTTGAAAGAAGTTGTGATTATTGCGGCGACAAATTGGCCTAAAACAAGGAAACGCATTACTATAATGAGCCACAAATTAATTAGTATTATTAATTATTATGTTCAGGGCTCTGTATGAATCGGTATGATTTAGTAGGAACTCTGACCCAACGAACGAAACAAGTCTGAAAACTGCTAATATCTTGCAACTATATTTCTGAAATTGTTTTAGCAGTTATCCTGATGCAATGCTGACCTCCCTTTACTCTTTCTGTTTAGAAACTAAAGGTCTAAAGACCATTATTTTATTTTATCGACCTTAACTTGTATTCAGCTCTCTGTTTTACCATAATAGCTAATCATGTTAACCCAACATCAGTTAACAGGATCTGTGGTTAGTGTTGATCTGTATATGCTGGTTAAATCTGCACTGTCACCAGCTGATTGTCTGAAATGCACATTAAAGTGTTGCACCTCTCAGATTCCTGCGGGATGTCGTGAAACACCGTGAAACTGGCCTGGTGGCTTGATGTGACATGATTAGGTCTAGTTATGGTGTTATTATTTTTTACTGAAGCATATCTTTATACAGTCCATAATGTAACCTGTGCTTATGAATACAGGTAGAGGGTTTAGTAGCAACGAGATTTGTGAACCTCAGCTGGGTGTCACTGTGTGTAAACTGTTTGGAGGTTTGTAAATCACACTTGAGCTCATGGCTTGTTTGAGTAAGAGTTTCAGTATCCATATAACTGTCCTGAACCAACGCCCACTGTTGTTACATGTGACTCATGATGCTGTTGAAAGAGTTGTAATTGTTTTGTCATTCCATTTAAGCAAAATATTGCACTGTTATCCGACTATAAATGTTTAGACAATTACAGTTACTGTGGCACCGTGGCACGGCCACTGAGTCTTATCTTAAGAAACCGAGTCTGCTTTCTTTTTCTCTCGCTGTGAATGTGTAGCAGTGTGGTGGGTGTGTTGTGTTACTCAGGTTTCTGAAGTGAGTCGCTAGTGTTGTTGTTATTTTCATGTGTAACGTCTCACTGTTATTGAACACATGCTTTGACCGTCATCATGCCTGGATGTCCTGTAGTCTGATTTGCATTGTTTGCTGAATTGTATCTAGAGTGTTCTTACACTCTAAAAAATGCTGGGTTAAATACAACCCAGTGCTGGGTAAAATATGGACAAACCCAGCGATTGGGTTGCTTTCAACCAACAGTTGGGTTTATGGGTAGTAACCCAAATGCTGGGTCAAAACAGCCCAATCGCTGGGTTTGTCCATATTTTACCCAGCACTGGGTTGTATTTAACCCAGCATTTTTTTAGTGTACACTCTTAGATTGGATATATGGCAGGGTTCATTATGAAAATATTGTCACGTAACACGAAAATAATCAATGAGATACTGTGTGTTGCAGTAATTTTACATGCACCACACAAAGAGCTATTAGCTTAATTCATTATGGTGTTGTTTGCAGATTCTGACTAGTATGTATTGAGACGCATACCTGAGATTTTAATAAGTTTTAACACTGCTTTCATATGACAGTTTGGTATTAATTAGCATTTGAATGCTATTCAAATAACAAATATATTAAATACATTCTGCTTTACGCTAATACAGACCAGTATTTTACAGCTGTGCACAACCTTAGAATTACAATTTTATTTAAATTTTACTTTGTTGTCTTATTGTTCCTTGTTACTGTCTGATTAGTAATTTAAATTCAATTTTATAGCGCTTTTCACGATACAAATTGTTGCAAAGCAGCTTTACAGAAAATGAATGTTTCTACATTATATTTATTAGTAGCTGTGGTCAAGTTGATGTCCATATGGCAGAAATGTACAGTAAAAAGCATGCAGTTTGTTAATGGCATGTAATCAAAGTAATGCATGATAAAATACTAAACAGGCCTGGAACCAACTTCTCTCTGCTCCTCCCCCGCGAAAGCGAAAATGCAAACGCTAATGCAGGATTTGCAATTGCATTTGGATTATGTCACAATTTATGCGTCCACATATTGAAAACGCAATTGAAAATACAATTTGCTATTCTATTTGAAAATTGTCCGGAATATCGTTCCATAATAATGCTGATTCTGTTGAAAACTGAATTCTGATGTGAAAATGTTTTGGTAAGTTACAGTAATAAGTTTTGATGTGTTATTAATGAAACTAGGATTTAGGATTCTCTTAAACTCAGTGTCTTTCAAAAGCAGTGGCTTAAGTGATTGTGTGTCCGAATGATCAGTGTTGGAGAGGAAGATATCGATGAGGAAGCCCAGAGAGGAGCTGATAGAGCGAGGGTTACTGAAGGACGTCCCAGAGAATGGTACGGCAACCTAGCATGGTCATGTGTCTCGTTGTTTTGAACTTAATTGCTCAAATCGAATTGCTTGAAAGGTTTTGTGAGATTAATTCCATCATAAACAGAGCATTTTTGTATGTATCATGCGCTGAATTGTCTGTAGGATCATAGAGTTTTTGCATTGTGACGTTATTTTAATGACACGATGCATAAAAATATGCTCTGGATTAGGGCTGAACGATTTTGGAAAATAATCTAATTGCGATTTAATATGCAATTCTTTTTTAAAGCTCTTTATGTTCTGTATTATTCAACAAAGACAAGCTATAAATCATTTGTATAGTATGACCAACATAATATTATATAGATTAAACATAAATGTTCTTTTCTGTAGACAAGGCCTATATGTTACGATGAAATTAGGTGATGCATGAATTGATATGAATGTCATTTTTATTTAACATCTACAATCACAGTACATTGACTGATTTGTTGTACTTCCAACCTTGTAAGCATGTAATAATTATGACAAAATAAAGCACTGACAAATAAGCCTGGTGTAAACATTAATATAAAAGTCAGTAACAAATCACACAAACTAAAGTAGATTGCAGAAATATAAAAACAAATCTGTTGCTTTACCACACTACTTTAGATAATTCAAAGTCACTGTAATAAACATATGTAAACATGTGGACTGCACTTTTTAAACACCGTTAACTTTAGACAGACTTAAAATAAATAAATAAGAATATATTACCTTATTATATACAGTATATATTATCTTAAGGTCGAAGTCTTCAGTAATGAAATGCACCGTAACACTGTTACTGCTTGAGTCATTTCAGGGCTCCATTCTTCCCACTGGTCGCTCTTTTGTGACTAACTTTCTCAGTTGGTCGCAATTGTTTTTTTTGCTACAACATGGGAATAATCAATGCATGCTGATTAACTTTTATCATAGTTTATAGTTATATGGAAACGAAAGAGGTTAACATTCAACCCGGTCTTTTTCATCAGTAGTATTATTTGTGATTTGAATTTTGTGAACGGGAGTTCCTCTTTTGCTATGTTATAAGCCGCGGGCTTTGGATGCTTTTGAATTTGCGATCTTGTTGTCACACAAGAAAAGATAATTGTCTGTTTTGCTTCCATCTATACCTTTCTCTTTTTAAGACTAAGACAAAAGATGGATTCATTGTTATTCTTAATTAAAAAGCACAACAACAATAAAACCGAAAGATACAATGACAAACAAGCTTAAATGAATAAGATGAGGCATGGCATACACCACGTGCTGTATTATATACAGAATAATAAATTACAGAACGTTTAGCAAACACTGAGGAATCAAATAAATAAAAGAGAACCTCCATAGCATATCATGAGGTAAACAGCAAAGATAACGCAAATGAAAACACAAAGAAAAGTAAAACTAAACTTGCTGTCGGTGACAGTGCTTGCATGTCCCCCCCCACAAGAATACCAACATGTTCACCTTTGGTTTAAGAAGAAGTCTTTTACTTTACTTTAGCATCCATCGTTTCCTCAATATGTGCGTAATTTTTGCTGTGCGCTGCTTCGTGCTCGTGCTGACGCGGCGAGTATAAACCAGGCTCTACACTCGAAGAGCTGCGCAGGTCAAATGAGTAGCGCGGTTTCGTTATGCTTTCAGTTTCATTTGCCATTTGATGTTTCACATATGCAACAGAAATGGCAGCGCTTATGAGGTGAACAGCTCGGTGGTCGCGACAGTTTAGTCGCACAGGCAAAAAAAATGGTTGGTCGCAGTCTGGAGCCCTGAATTTCCATGTGCCGTTTTGAAGTACGTTCATTATATAAGCTTTCAAACATTTCCACGTGCCAGGGTTGCCAGGTTTTCTCAACAAAACCCGCCCAATTGCTACTCAAAACTAGCCCAATCGCGTTTCGAGGGGGGTCCACCGGTAAAAATCGCGTTCCAGGGGGTAAAATACACGTTTTTTGGAGGGGTTCCCCAAACCGCAGACTTGGCAGCACTGTAGCGTGCAAACTTGATGCTTCCTCTGAAGACTGCTTAGATGTGCTCGACCTGAAGCAGCGCTGCTAGATCAATCGGTGTGTGTCATCAAAGCACTGCGAGAGCTATAAGAAAGCGAACATCTCCTTATGCTTTCCTCTCGCCGTACTTTGATGTTATACACCGATCGATCTTCAAGTCGAACACACCTCTTTAGGCCATGTCCACACGTACATGGGTATTTTTATAAACTGAGTTTTCCTTCCGTTTAAAAAAAAATCTCTGTCCACTTGAAAATGCAAACGCATGGTATGAAGCACTGTCAAGAGCATACAACCAACAGGTGGCGATATAATCTCAACTGTAAAACCATGTTGGCCAATCAGAAGCCTGAAAAAGTTTCCAGTAGGCAGAGATAACAGAGCAGGCTCCGACGTCACAAGCCAAAAACTGAGTTTTTGAAAATCTTCACCCTGGCAGGCGTTTTCAAAAGTGTTCGGTTTCAGTGAACTGGTGCTGCGTTTGCGTGTGGACGAACGGCCAAACCACGTAGGAAAACCACGTAGGAAAAGCAGTCGTGTGGACAGGGCCTTACTCTCGCATGTCACGTGACTGAGTGTAATCGCAGCCTCTGCGGTTGAAAAATTTTGTTTTTTTTCATATCGCGATATTATCGCAAATGCAATTAATCGTTCAGCCCTACTCTGGATTATTTTTCTTTATGGTGGTAATTATCTGACTTTTTCGTATTGAAAAAAAATAATTAGCTGCAATGTGGTGTTTAAAACAGGTTCACAGTCAATGAAGACCAGGATTAGTAAAGTCAGTGAGACTAAAATTGATTTATTTAAAGATATACACAGATAAATCATTTATAATATATACTTAAAGCATTCAATTAAAACCAAGGAACAAAGTCCGTTTTGATTTCATGGTGACTTTAAAATCATAATTTTTAGTCCTGGAGAAGCCAATGATAAAGTCTTTAAATATAAAAGAATAGTATCTGTAGAGAACATACATTTTTCTAGAGCATTATACTGGCTAATATTACGATCTTAAATGAAACCTTTGACCTTTTCATAACCTGGAAAAGTCATGGAAATTGATCAAAATGTGTAAAAACCTCTTCTGAGCATCTGTAATAAGTTTTGCATCATTTTATACTTTTAGTATCCAGTCTGACACATTGTTTTTCTTTGTTCTATCGTATTCTGTCTCAATCCATTATCCACATCTGTTTCAGAGCGTAATGACGTGAATCACAAAGCTCCTCCAGTGAAGAACGGCCACACTGCTCCAGTGCCTGGAGAGCGCAGGTCAGACACTGGATCAGAGGTCAAGGCACCATCTTCACGGCCACAAGGAGAAGAACAACAGAGGAACAGCCTCGCACCTGAACCGGAGCGCCGCAACCGCGCTCCCTCCGACGTCAGTCGCAACCGTCAGCCGCTGGACGTGGACGCTCGGATGCGGTTACCGCCTGAAACAGACCGACGCAGCCGACTGGAGTCAGACGTGGAGAGACCAGCAGGATCGTTACCGAGAGAAAGACAAGGACAGGAGGAGGGGCGTTATCGGCGGGAGGAAAGAGACGAGAAAGCGAGTAGGGACAGAGAACGGCGGGATAGAAAAGACGACAGGGAAGGAAGAGGCGAACGCAGAGATGACAGAGACAGACGAGACAGGAGGCCGGATAAAGAAGACTGGCACGGAAAAGGTGAGCGAGATGAGAGGAGGAATGACAGAGAAAAGCGGGAAGAGAAAGACTGGAGAGAAAACAGGGACAGGAAACAGCCACGAGACCGGAAAGAGGATCATGAAAGACGGGATGAGCCAGAGAGAGTAGACGAGCGAGAGCGAAAGGAGCAGAATGAGAGGAGGGAAGACAGGGAAAGAAGAGAGGAGCGGGATAGACGCGAGGAGAGAGACCGAAAAGACGAGAGAGAAAGGAGAGACGTCAGGAGGCCAGAACCCGTGAAACAGGTGTCTGATGGGAAACTCTTCCGGCCTCAGTCAGAACAGGACATGCGGCCCATTCTTCAGAAGAGCTCGTCTGACATTGGACAGAAGGTCCGGCCCGTTTCAGAGGCCGTCCAGAGCAGCACACTGCCACGGCACACACCTGCAGAGGAGGAAACAAGGGCACGGACAGGTAAAACTCACCCAGCTCACCTCATTCCTGATAGTACATTTGTGGGCTCAGAAAATGCATTAAAGGCATCGCTCAAAACTGTGAGGCTTACTAGAAGTTTTAATATTCACATGCGTCTAGGGAAAATTCTGACTTTGTTTCATATCAAAAGTAACAAAGCACAAAGTTTATTACGATTATTTGCTGGGTGGCGTGTTACAAATAATGTTTAGTGAAGTTTTGTTCTCACGTCAGATCTAATATACTATATAACACATTTAAATAAATAATTAGAAAAACAGCAACAACAAAATTTGCATCCAAAATAAAAGTTTTTGTTTACATAATATATGTATGTTTACTGTGTGTGTGTGTGTATATATATATATATATATATATATATATATATATATATATATATATATATATATATATATATATATATATATATATATATATATATATATATATATATATATATATATATATATATATATATATATATATATATATATATATATATATATATATATATATATATATATATATATATATATATATATATATATATATATATATATATATATATATATATATATATATATATATATATATATATATATATATATATATATATATATATATATATATATATATATATATATATATATATATATATATATATATATATATATATATATATATATATATATATATATATATATATATATATATATATATATATATATATATATATATATATATATATATATATATATATATATATATATATATATATATATATATATATATATATATATATATATATATATATATATATATATATATATATATATATATATATATATATATATATATATATATATATATATATATATATATATATATATATATATATATATATATATATATATATATATATATATATATATATATATATATATATATATATATATATATATATATATATATATATATATATATATATATATATATATATATATATATATATATATATATATATATATATATATATATATATATATATATATATATATATATATATATATATATATATATATATATATATATATATATATATATATATATATATATATATATATATATATATATATATATATATATATATATATATATATATATATATATATATATATATATATATATATATATATATATATATATATATATATATATATATATATATATATATATATATATATATATATATATATATATATATATATATATATATATATATATATATATATATATATATATATATATATATATATATATATATATATATATATATATATATATATATATATATATATATATATATATATATATATATATATATATATATATATATATATATATATATATATATATATATATATATATATATATATATATATATATATATATATATATATATATATATATATATATATATATATATATATATATATATATATATATATATATATATATATATATATATATATATATATATATATATATATATATATATATATATATATATATATATATATATATATATATATATATATATATATATATATATATATATATATATATATATATATATATATATATATATATATATATATATATATATATATATATATATATATATATATATATATATATATATATATATATATATATATATATATATATATATATATATATATATATATATATATATATATATATATATATATATATATATATATATATATATATATATATATATATATATATATATATATATATATATATATATATATATATATATATATATATATATATATATATATATATATATATATATATATATATATATATATATATATATATATATATATATATATATATATATATATATATATATATATATATATATATATATATAAATACACACACATGCACGTGTATATATTTCAGAGAAATATTGTATTTATTTATAATATAAATTATATGAATATAAATATAGACCTGTAAATACATGTAAATATTTTCAAAATATATACTGCGTGTGTGTGTGTGAATTTATATATACATAATAAGTATACACAGAACACACACATATATTATGCAAACTTATACTTTTATTTTGGATGTGATTAATCGTTTGACAGCACTAAACAAAATGCATTTGGCAATAAAATCAGAATTCAGCACTAGAGGTCACATTTTGGTGAATTTCTGCAGGCGAAATCCAGTTATTTCAGTAGGAATCACGCTATTGGGAATTCATTTTTTTGCATCAGGTTCAGTGGTCGACTGATTATGATTTTTTTTATGGGCAATTTAAAGCCATGGATACATGATATCACATTATTTAATTTAATGATAGTAAAAGCACATGCATAACAGTTGCTAAAATGAAATCTATTTATTTTATATAATATTTAATAAATTAGAAATAAATAATTTGAAAGTGAATACATATAAAAAAGTATAGAATAATTTGAACTTGATGAAAAATAAATCTGTACAATAAATAGATGGATTGATTGGTTTGCCGATATATTGGTCAACCACTATTCAAGTCGGCCATCGAATTCACCATGTTGACCACCAGAAAGCTAATATGATATATAACACATTAAAATAAATCTGCTTAATTGAAAGTGGATTCTATGTGAGCTGTGATTCATACATCGATCATTGACAGTGGACCTTTTTTTGCCTGTTGAAAAAAACAATAGTTAAGAGAGAGTTGGTTTAGTTTTGAAACAGCTACTTTTAATTAAGTGTTTTAATAAACTAGACACTCAAGTTGTTTTTAAAGAGTTTAAATGCAAAATTGCTATTATTGTTTATTTGTATCGGCTCAGAAGTTCAATATCGGTGCATCCTTAGTATTAACTTTTTTTTATTATTTTTTTTAATAAATTGTTCAAAATAACCCTGGACCTACAGTATAGGTCTGTTACAAGGACATTTAAACTTATTGGCATCATATTTTCATAACTTTTTTTTTTATTATTGCCTGCCACCTCTTATTAGCTCTTTAGCCTGTCTGTCAAATAAATGGGATCATGATAGACTTCAGTGTGGTGTCCATCAAAGTCTTGTTTTTGCTATCAGAAGACATTTACAGTAGTGTCACATATACATTTGCTTAAGCTCTTTAAAGCAGCTTATATCATGTTCTTGAGAGACAGCTTCAAAATGTCAAGATTTTGAGTGGTGTTCATGCAGTTTAATTGCTAGATCTGCAGAACTTCACTATGCACTATTTTGCTCAAGGCACAGCGATGGTAAAGACCCCATGAAACAGCTGGATTCCTGTATTGGTTATTGAAGGATATGTCAATCGTGTAGCCCTAAGTATACCTTTTAAAATGTATTTTTGTCTACATTGGTCATATAGATGCCCTCAAATCACAATACTGCCATTTTGACTTCATGGGGTCTTTAAAGCGCTCCACTGTCACCCTGTTCACATGCCATGCCTGATTTACTCATGCCTGCTGCTGTGATTGTGCTGTGCACCTGTGTGTGTTTTGTTATTTGTGTTTATGTATGTTTGTGCATGTGTCTTGTGCTCACCATTAGGATCAGTGGGTGTGCGGTTTGTTCCTGAGCCCAAACCTGCACCAAGTGCCTCCATTAAAGACTCCCAGCTGCCCTCTAAACAGGCCATTCTCCCTCCCAAATGGCTGATGGCTTCCTCCTCCTCCACTGAGACTGCTCCAGTCCCATCCTCCTCCTCTTCGTCATCATCGTCATCATCCTCATCCTCTGCTCCCCCCATTGCTAAGCCTCCTCCTCGGACTGTGTCTTTAAATGTAGACGACTCCTCCCGAAGTAATCCCATTCCTCCCGTAACAGCAGGAGACCGTGACGCTCCGCCCATTGTGTCTGCCCACTCGAATCCTCCCACTGTTCCTGCCCACTCTGCCCCGCCTACTGTTTCTGCCCACTCGACTCCGCCCACTGTTCCCGCCCACTCTACCCAGCCCGCTGTTTCTGCCCACTCGACTCCGCCCACAGTTCCTGCCCACTCTGCCCCGCCCACTGTTCCTGGCCACTCCAACCCTCCTGCCCCTACTGCCCCTAAACAGCCGCCAGTGCCCCCTCCCAAACCCGCCCATCACAACAGCAACACTGCACTGCAAGGTGAGTCGGTATTTGTCTTGTCAGCTTTCGCCCCAAAACTGCAACTGTGAAGTATGTGTGGCTTCATGCTGCTTTCTTGAGTAGACTCCACTGTGCAGAATGATAAAAGCACGACCTGTTCAAAATGTCGTAACCTAGCAGTTTTCCCACGGCCATGGAAACCTGGATCTGTCAGCTGGGGTTTAAAATGGTGATTTCAAAGCCTGGAAATATCAGAGTGAATTAATACAATATTTCTACAGTCATTATGCCAGTTTTTCTATGATTCTGGTTATGCTTGGCTCTAAAATATTTGACTAGACTTCTAAAAATCATTATGCAGTAGGATTTTTTTTTTTATCCTTTAATTATGAATGACTGGAAAAACTTATGGAAAATCCTTGTTTCAAAGGTGTGTGGGAACTGTATCTCGAGTAACTGGTGTCAGATTCACAAAAAGCTTAAGAAAAAAGTTTCTAATAAGGCCATGTTGTGCAATTATTGAACAATTCTTAAGTTTTCAAATATTTTCTTATTAATATCATATTGTTTTCCTAAGAATCAAATTATTGTTTTGTGATTGTTGCTGAAGATACATCTCAAAGGACCTCTTTTGCGCTGCCTTCAGATTACCACAATAATCATATTAAGCCTGCACACTATTTACGTTATGTCATAAATCCCAGGATATGCCGATATTGTCTGCACAAACATATTTTGTTACATGTATAATTGAAATTATGGAGACAGATTTGATGTGCTGCTTATGTCTTCTGCATGCTTTTTTTCCAGTGGCTTTAAAAAAAATGGGGACAAATTTGAGTTTGAGTGAATGTGTAATCCCTAGTTATAGTAATATTTATTATATGTAGCTCGTGTTATGTTGTAATGCTTAATATTTTAAACCACCCAACATATTCTTTAAACATCTTATCTTTAAGGGGTTTAAGACCTGTTGAAGGTTATCCTGACATTGTCATTCTGTAGATAGTTTTCCATGCACCTCCTACCTGTGTGGTCATACTGTGCTTTCATTGTATCGGTAATCGGCTATATTATTTCCTTTCCTGCAGTGTATTGTTTTTAATTCATGTTTAATCAACAGAGCTTCATTTTACTGGTGATACAACTAGGGGTGCTCCGATCAGGATTTTTGATGCTGATCACCGAAAGCAGTATCTGCCGATACCGATCACCGATACCGATCTTTTTAAAGCCTTCTTTTTATCATTTATAACTATTTATAGTGATACTCCAATCAGGACTTTTAGACATTTATTCATTTTTGATAATGGGGGGAATTCCCCTCTTAGGTGACTCTTGTGAGAGGAGAAGCAGCTTTCACACAGGAGTCCGCTACTGAATCATGGCTGTTTACCACAAACACAGCATTTTTCCATTATTTTGATTTCAAATCCAAACATTGTCGCTGAAAATGCTTTTTCAGCATTGCAATTCTTTTTTTACACAGTACAATACAATCTTTCACAGACGTGTTTAAACACAATAAATATAAGCAACACATTATTCAATGCTTTTTACTTTTGCATTTACCTCTAGATTTATATATTAAGTTGCTCAAGCAAGTGGCAAAACATTTAAACTACTTTTCTTACGTTATCACAAACTTACCATTGACAGAAATAGTCAGCTCTACTGCCTTTCCTTTTGCATTTGAATCTTTATTACAAGCAATCCTGCAGTTCATAAAGAACTTTGTTTTCCTACCTCCACGAGTGCCATCTATTATTGCCTTGTTTATTTAAAAGTGCTCTTTTCCTTTAAAACTAGCCAAAAAGCCATATGTGTTGACTGTGAAAGGCAGTATACTTTAATTATATGCATTTATGGTGCAATTGCTACATTTTCGTTTTCATATTTACCGCAAACAATGCTCTGTTACTTTAATTCAGCGCTTGCAGTGCAGCAAACATAGACTCGGTGCAGACATGATCTCTGCACTGCAGCAGACGCACCGCTCCTGAACGCACTGCCGGGCGCAACCGTGTGCAGTGTGACATATTTAATCCGTTAACATGAGCGTGGAAAAAATACTCACCACATACGCACTGCAAACGGAGTAATGTGAACCTGGCATTATGTGTGTGCGCCACGAGTGTGCATGAGCGCACAGTCTCCAGGAGAGCGCACAACCGCTGAATGGTTGAACACTAGCAAGAATTAAAAAGTGATGATGTGACACTGCCTCAATTGTGCAAGTGACAATTCCTGTGTCAACTGTGCAGCGTGTAGCTCGCACCCCTAGATACAACCTTCATTCATTCATGATGAAGACATACATGATTTAGTTTGGACATTACCATTACTATGTACATCAGACTTGTGCAGTTATGCTTATGGCTATTTCGTTTATATACAAGTTTTCTATCGAATAAAAATGCACTGGTAACACTTTACCTTAAAGTTCAATTTGTTAACATTATTCAATGTATTAGATATAATGAAATATACATTAAACTAAACACTAAAGTTAATTTATATATATATTGTTTATAATAATGTTTATTCATAATACATGAACTAATGTTCATGTTTAATTTATTCAGCTTGTTAACATTATTAGTGTATGTAGAAATTAACATTAAATTAGATTAATAAATGCTGTAAAAATATTATTCATTGTCATTTTACATTTCATACTGCAGTACTTTTAATCTATAAAACCTTATTTAAAAGTGTTACCTACATATTACAATGGCTATATCACATCCTGTTTTAATTTATCAGGACTTTTGATAACCTTCACAAAAAACGAATGTACACTGTAGCTTTCACGGGTAATATAACAGTCCCATAAACGTCCTATTTGTTATAGCAGTCAATTTCTTACATTCTTTAATGTAGATATTTCTATGTCATTGAGCAAAGAGTATGAACTGATAGTTGTCAAAATGGAGGTGTACGGAGCCCCGCACAAGACATGCAAGAAAAATAAATAAATCGTGGGCATGATTTACTAATTCGTTCCCTCGATATACTAAAACGTGCACACAATTACTATTTTGTTCCCTCGATTTGCTAATTTGTTCCCTCAATTTGCTAAATCGTGTGCACAATTTACTAATTCGTTCTCTCGATTTATAAATCATCTGCACGACTTGGCAAATCGAGGGAACAAATTAGCAAATTGAGGGAACAAAATAGTATTTGTGTGCATGTTTTAGTACATCGAGGGAACGAAATAGTAATCGTGTGCACGTTTTAGTACATCGAGGGAACGAAATAGTAATCGTGTGCACGCTTTAGTACATCGAGGGAACGAAATAGTAATCGTGTGCATGTTTTAGTACATCGAGGGAACGAAATAGTAATCGTGTGCACGTTTTAGTACATCGAGGGAACGAAATAGTAATCGTGTGCATGTTTTAGTACATCGAGGGAACAAAATAGTAATCGTGTGCACGTTTTAGTATATCGAGAGAACGAATTAGTAAATTGTGTGAACGTTTTGGTACATCGAGGGAACAAAATAGTAATCGTGTGCACGTTTTAGTACATCGAGGGAATGAAATAGTAATCGTGTGCACGTTTTAGTACATCGAGGGAACGAAATAGTAATCGTGTGCACGTTTTAGTACATCGAGGGAACGAAATAGTAATCGTGTGCACGTTTTAGTACATCGAGAGAACGAATTAGTAAATTGTGCACACGATTTAGCCTTCTATTTTTTTCCTGCAGGCCATGTGCAGGACTCCGTAGAGGTGCAATATTATGGACGAAGGTCAACTACACGCAATACTCGTGTCACTATCATTTACTTTTTAATTACTGCTTACTTTTTTTGGCGCTATGTGTGTTTGTAATGTATAGGACAGTAAAGAGAAAAGGAAAGTAAAGGAAAAGAGATGTCCACATGGGCATCACAGCTGTACATATGAGACCTTTTTGTTTGTTTTTTCTTAATTTTTCCCTCATCAGAATCAAGTCGGTTAGTTAATAGATGAAGGCATGTGTGTTTAGTGAATCAGGTGTGTAAGTGTCTGCTGCTCCCTCCCTCTGAAGCAGAGAGACAGATGAGCACTCCATTGAGAGTAAAGAGAAAAGGAAAGTAAAGGAAAAGAGATGTCCACATGGGCATCACAGCTGTACATATGAGACCTTTTTGTTTGTTTTTTCTTAATTTTTCCCTCAGGCATGTGTGTTTAGTGAATCAGGTGTGTAAGTGTCTGCTGCTCCCTCCCTCTGAAGCAGAGAGACAGATGAGCACTCCATTGAGATAGGCAGGCTGAGACATGTCTCTGTGCTGTTTGTGCTGCTGTGCTGGCACACTGTTCACTGAGCAGCTTCATATCTCACACACACACACACACCTGTCTCTGAGCGGCCCCGGCTCGAGCCACTTCTGAGGAAACACAGACAGCTACACTGAGACACAATGGTTGTTGTCTGACAGGTTTTAAATGTACCGTTTCACAACAATTCAATACAAAAATGGCCAAAGTAATTGCACCTGGGAAAGGGATGGAAAAAAAGTGTGTGTGTGTGTGTGTGTGTAATGTTCCTCTAGGACTTAAGTGTGTCTGTTTGTCCTACATAGCAGCTGATGCTCTATCTGCTCACAGACATAAGAACTCCCTGTACATTTGTCCTTAGGTTTTTTATTAGTACAATAGAGCAAAACAGACACCGCCCACTTTTCTAGCCATGCACTTGGGTACCGGTTATATTTTTCCTATTAATTTCCTCCATAGACATTTCAGAAAATCCTTCAGTCAAGAATTCTAAGCCTTGAACCAAATGATGGATGAAAGTAACCTGGCATGAAAGTGACCACTTTTTATATTTTGTTAGTTTGTTTGATTGGGTGAATCCGTGAGTTCAGCCCATAATTTGCTGCATTAATATGCGGTTGATTTTCTATAGTTTGTTCCAGTAGATTTTGTGAACTGAATTAAAGTAGAAGAGAGCTCATGCTGATGGTTGAAGGTGTCATTGAGGGAAGATAACATTAGATATGTCATGGCCCAGTGGCATGAGAGGCAGGCAGCAGCTGTCCAAGTGTCAGAAACACAGCACACACCATCCCTGTCCAACAAGATCCATTTATAGACACCCCTAGATACCAGGGCAATCCCTTTTCAGCTCTCGTTCTAAAACAGTTGAGAGACTGAGATGACGAAAAATATTAAAGGGGTCATGAACATGAACATTTTGTACTGTTCTCTGAGGTCCGCTTATAATGCTATCAAGATTTTTACATAAAAAAAACATCGTAATTTAGAAGTACTATGCTATTTTCTGTCATGTTTTTGACCCCTCTCATCAGAACGCTCTGTTTGAATAGGTGTGGCAGATTGTAGACTCAGAAGTAAACGCCCACTGCTATGATTAGCTAAGACTTGTGTATGTTTGACAGTCTGCGTCCTTCACAGATGGGCGCTGCTGTGATTTAGGTTACAAATGCATAAATACTCAGTACATATCAAACAGAACAATCTGTTTAACAGACAAATCTATAGTGATCACGTAATAAAAACAGTTACTGTCGGATCCAATATGTCTTTTAGTTTCGATCTTTCAGAAAACGTCGAATTGTGCCTTGTTTGTAAACGAATCTGCGGTAAAATGAAGTTCTCACTGATGTGGTCTGGATCTTCATTTAAATGAAAGTTCATCCATTCTTTTCTAATGTTATGATCAGAAGGAAGGTAATACAAAGACTGTGGCAACTTGGCACTGAACAGCATCTTGTTGTATTCGAAATTATCTTTATCATTTGGTTTCTGTGTAGACCTGCGTTTGCCTCTCTCGTTATTTACACTACAGACGTGAATCGGCTAAAAAGACAGCGATGTAGAAGCAGGTATTGATCTTCTACTGTGGAGGCGGAGCTTATCCACACTATTACATTATAGAGTAGAACGTTCCACAAGCTGTGGTTTCGGCAGACTGCCTTCAATAGAAGCTGTTTTTAGATTAACAACAAAGTTTTGAGTTCTGAAACTTACAGAAAGTTTTAATAGTACAATGACCTTTTATATGTCAAAAGATCAAGGGAATTTTTGATTTTTTTCAGTTCATGACCCCTTTAAAACTGGGTGAGGCCATTGACTAGGGATGTGCGATATTGAAGAAAAAATGCGATATTCGATATGCGATACGATATTGCTTAAAGTGTGTAAAATCAATTTCAATTATATTTTAAAATATTTAAAAAAGAAAATTATATAACCAATTTGTTTCACATTCTTTCTTGGGAAAGAAAGAATCACTACAACTTCTGAAAGTGACCAGCAGTGTTTTAGCATTACATCAAAAGTAATGTCACAAATCAGAAAATGTCATTTTAACATCAGTGTGAGCATACAAACCAAAAAAAAATTAATGAAACTAATTTTATATCATTGTAACTTTGCTTTCCATACACTTTAAGTACTTCTTCATATACCACAGCAAAAGCTATAGTCTGAGAAAGTTCAAACATGATTAAAGGCAAGTGAACAGTCAGTAAAAAAAAGAAAGAAAAATAAAAAGAAAGAAATACACAATTTACAAGCATAGCTAAAATAAACAGTAGTATTCAGGTACAGAAATGTAATAATTAAGTGTAAAATAACACTACAGTGTTCACTGTATGAATTAAATTTAATTAATCTTTGTTATAGCTGTTTTGTTGTTTGATTAACGTTAGTGACATATTCAGCAGCACGTGTTTATAGGCTGCTGTCCCTTTAAATCCGACTGCACGAATCCAGTATAATGATACACATTCTATTTCTTTCTCAGCTGTTTACATTAATTTAAAACATAACTGACTGCGTTTACGAGAATGATCGTTGAGACGGGTCTGTTCAAACATAAGGAGGAGGAGATGCGAGAGACGAATCAACTCGGTGTTCGCCTGCCGTCTGAAATGCTTCTCTCTGTGTGTGCGCATGCTTTGCACATGTGCGGCAGAACCATAGACTGTATAAAAACGGCAGAACTTCAGGTGTGAGTCAGACAGCAAGACGAGACGGCAAAGAGTTGTTTTCTGCAACTTATTGCACTTAACTCTTAACGTCAAGCAATTCTATGCGTCGAACTAAAACTTTGACCTTTTGCAACATTTTGATTTAAGTAGCCTATTATTAAAATGATTCAGATATCGCACGCCCTTGCGATATGCATATTGCGATATTTGCATTTGCGATATTTCGATATATCGTGCAGCCCTACCATTGACTTTACTGATATGTATTGGATTTGCCATTTTTTGGTGAAGCTGGATTGGTTAAATAAAGCCTGACTGACCCAAGTGTTTCCCCTCAGCTGGTTTATACTGGCTTCGTTGTTGGAAGTTTTGCTTAAAATATTCATTTGTATTTAAGTTATATTTTCTCACCTCATTTTAGCTCAATTTATTTTAAAGGCTTTAAATATGTTTTGTAGGTTTGACTTTACCACAATTTTAGTCACTAATATCCACCAGCTTAAAGCTGAAGTGTGTCTTTTTGGACCCCTGATAAAACCAATTGAGTTGCAAATAATCGTATATGTCCTACTGCCTTTCATTGTACTCTTGCTATTGGTTGAGTCACAGGCTGACATGTTGGGTGGGATGCTCTTACTTAGAGTTTAAACTTGCTTACAGTGTTCAACTTACTTATAAATTATTCTTACTTATAGATACTTATAGAATCGTGTTCATCTTCAAAACATTTTAATGAAACCTGAATAATTTCCATTCCACCACTAAAAGTCCGTTCTGACAAAACTTTGATATTTCAAATATGTCATAAGGACACCGTAATAAAATCCAAATGAATTGAACGGTTTAATCCCAAGTTTTCTAAAGACTTTAGGCTTTTATTCACATATTGTCATTGATGCAAGAACAAATTCGTTGGTTTTTGCACATCAAATGTTTGCGCTTCCATTTACCATATTAGATGCGCTCTATGTATGTGAATAAAATAAAATAATAAAAAGGTGAATAAAAGCCCAAATTAAATCTGTTCACCACATATAATGATCATATCTTTGGAAGACTTGTATTAAACCACTTCAACTTTCAAAGGTGGGTCAGAAATATGTCCGGTTTCATTAGAAATATCTTCATTATAAAAGTCTAATGGGTTTGAAGTATCATGAAGGTGAGTAATAGTCCGATTTTTCATTTTTGGGTGAATTTAAGCGCTTGGAGGTTTGAATGGGTGTCACCTGTTGGACTGGACCAGTGTCCAACAGTGCGTGTGATTTGTTGTTTGAAATGCTAAAAACACATTTCCCTTCATCCACCCCCAAAGCTTCAACGTTACAAAGATATTACAAAGCTCCACCTCCTCAGTATTGGACGAGCTGGAGACGGCAGGCAGAGTCTGGAGTCTATCTCTCCCTGCCCATCTACCTCAGCCACAGGGGCGCTCAGCTCCGCCCAGGTAGCCCTGGTGCCGTCCCGTCCCGTCCCACACCAGCTGGCATGCATGTCCTAATGCTCTAATAACCTCACAGAGTCATGCTTGTTTTCACACCCATACTCAAGATCTCCATGATCCTGCTCCAAATCACTGCGGTTACTGAGAACTAATGAATGGAGTTCAGTTAATCGCATTCGAAAGATATGATAATTATAGGTAACCATGATTGAGGATTAACAGAATAACCGGTAATGAAGATTAAATTCAGAATCAAGTCTGGATGATGTCTAGGGGTGTAATGGTATATAACAGTACGATATTTTGCGATGCAAAAATGTTACGATATGTATCGTAGAGTGGTGGCGATACTTTTACAATATGACGGCAGTCTAATCCTATTGGTTGAGCTGCCGACGTGACCTACTCTGCAACAGCGTCACGTGTGCTTTCCTCGCAGTTGCAGAAATCGCTTAAACTGAACATTAGTCGGGCAACATGAGTTTGGCTGAAACTGAAATTGAAGATGCCCTGTCTTCTTATAAGTCCGACATCTGGCAGCATTTTGGTTTTTCAGTCACGCGACAGGACGACGGTAAAAAAATTACAGACAAAATACAAACTGTTTGTAAACACTGTAAAACAAGGCTGCCATTTAAAACGGCATCACAACAACAAACTCCTGCCACAAAAAGGGTGAAAGAAAGCCAAACATCTATACAACGCAGTTTTGCTGCAACATGGTCTCAGTCAAGTGCGAAAGCTCAAGAAATAACCAGATGCATCGGCGTTTTTATTGCAAAAGACATGAGACCATTTTCTGTGGTCGAGAATGTTGAATATCGCTAATTGGTTAGCGTAATGGAGCCCAGATACCATATTCCGTCACGCCCGCACTTCAGTCAAGAGTTAGTTCCAGCCCTGTACTGCGAAGCTAAAGCAAAGGTGGTCGACGGTCTGAAAAAATCTGAGAATGTGGCAATAACGACTGACAAGTGGACTTCGCGGGCTTGTCAGAGCTATATTACAGTCACGGCGCATGTTATTACCACAGAGTGGGAAATTAAAAGTTTTGTGCTTCAGACTCGCCCGCTTTTTGAGTCACACACTGGAACTAACATAGCCGGAGTTTTAAAAGCGGCTGTACAAGAGTGGGAGCTTGAAAGGGCTCCTCATAGTACTGCTGTTGTTAGTGACAGCGCACGCAACATGGAGGTTGTCACCGCACATTAAGTGTTTCGCGCACACATTGAATCTTGCATCGCAAGCAGGTTTAAATGTTTCTCGCGTCAGTCGCTTGCTTGGGCGCGTGAGAAAAGTCGTGGCTTTTTTTCACCGCAGTGCCACAGCAACAGCTGTGCTCGCGGAAAAGCAAAAGATGCTTGAGATCGCATCACATAAAGCTTATCATGGATGTGGTAACACGATGGAACAGCTCCATTTTAAATTTTGTTCAAAATATCGTGATATATATCGTATTGTGAACCCAGTATCGAGATACGTACCGTATCGTGACCTGAGCATATCGTTACACCCCTAATGATCTCTGAAAATGTACATTTATACTAACATTTCACCCTAGGTAATGAGTGGCAGTGTCCAATGTCTAACGTTGAGTTTTTGACATGGATCTGGCCTTCACGTAAGGTTAAGAGTTTTGACATTTAGCCCAGAAACATACTTTATGCAAGTGCACAATCTCAGAAATGAATGCTTGGCCAACATCATGTTGCAAGTGCATAATTAACCTGCACTGTCGCAGTACTCAAGATAGGAGTTTTTTTCTTCATGTCTGTGTATTAACATGGTATTGAGAAACTAATTGGGGCCATTTAAATGTCATGGTCATTTTAACTAACTTGCTCAGAAAGATTCTCTTCAAACTGTTGCTCTGCCATGACAATAGTTGGCCTGATAGAGAAAAAACGTCAATTGAAGTAGAATGTTTAAGGCCCGTTCGCACCAAAAACGATAACTAATGACAACTGTATACACCAGAAGATGTATATTGTTTTCTGTTTACTATAAGCACACACTGCAGTTTTGTTGTTTACAGCTTTAAATGTTCTGGCTCTTTAAAGTCGGGTGGATTCTGATTGGCTGTCAAAAAAAAGTGAAAGTGATTCAGACGATATTATTGTTCTCTGCCGTTGTTATAGTTGTGATGTGGACTTCCCAATTATTAAAACTTTATAGTTATCGTTGCATTTATCATCCTCAATGTGAACAGGTCCTACATCGGCTGTTGTGGCAGCATTCAAAATGTAACTCATTTCTAGCTTATGTTCACAAACTTGCATAGACTGTGTATGTTTTAGAACTTAATGTATTGAAACTCTTCATCTTTAGAATATCATCTGTAGAATCTGTTATCTTAGAATATTAAATCCCTCCCCATCCTGTACTAATCCCCGTTTGATTAATTCCATGGCATGCAAATCAGTGTTTAAGCATCCTAGCTTGGCACCTTCGTACAAACTAATTTGTTGTTGCCACATGTGCTTTAACCCTCGTTTCTATGTGAAGTTCATTTTGATTGTATTTTGTTTATTTCTACAGTGGATCCCTCCCAAGTCCCGATCCCAGTCAAGCGATCTCCTCCCATTCCCCCAAAGAGGATGACTCCTATGACCAAGCGCCACTCAGACGACTCTTCGGCCAATCACCCTGAGCCTCCGCCCCCAGGCCCCGCCTCCATTCCGGTCCCAGCCCCAGCTTCTGCCCCGCCCCCTGCCCAATCAGACAACAGCAAAAACTCAGAAGCACTCTCTCCTCCACCAACCCATATCCCTCCATCCCCTCCCCGTGCCCACCCGCCCCCTGAGGGCCCACACGTGGAGCCCCCCAGCCCCACCACAGAGCCGCCCTTACCTCTGCACATACGCATCCAGAGAGCCTTGAACAGTCCTGGCCCGGTCCAGCCCAAACCGGAAGGATCCCAGCGAGCTCATTCGCTTCTGTTTGAGTCACCACCGGACTTTCTGGCTGACGCCCCAGGAGGGGGGCGATACTCTCTTCCAGTCACTATCGAACCTCTGCGACTGTGAGTGTGCAAATCAGTTTATCTCAGAACTCAGTGTCCTCTGCTTTGTACATTTGTAACAGATTGCTACTTTTTGCATCCCAAGAAGAAATGTTGCCTGCTATTGTGCCACTTATTATGTAATCTGGGTAGATTACTTACAAATTGTAGTTAGTAACGTAATCCATTACATTACACATTTTAGGTAATATTAATCTGCCTACATTTAGATTACTTTTAGGTTACTTTTGAGCTTTCTCGTTTATCACATTGATTTAAATAGGATTATCTTGTACCATATTGATCAAAATGCAAAGATTAAGAACATATATTCCATTCTTTGTTATTAGCAACATGGAGTGTATTAAACATTACATTACATCAAGGTTTCCCAAACTGGGGTTTGTGAAAGAACTGCAGTGTAGGGAGTTTAATGAAAAGCTAATAATTAATTAAATCCTAAAAATATTAAATTAAAATCAATCTTTTTAAAATCAATCAAAATAAAACAAGTACTAAAAAATGAAATATTTTATTGGTTTACCTGCATGTCATGTGACCATAACCAACATCAGAGAGCCACGAATATGCAAATGTGATACTTCATTATTAAAATATTTATTTTAAAGTCTCAGGGGTACTTCAAGTGAATATATTAGATGAAAGAGGATCAGATGACAAAAGTGTTTGTGAATTTATAGATTTTAATTTAATAATTTTTAAGTTATTTTAATGTGTTTGAAAGACAAAAGCCTTCCAAAGATAATAGAAATACGTGGTTAAATAACCTACTGAGTGGTAGGTTCTTCTTAAACCTGAAATGATTTTTATAAATCCAGTGGTCAAATGCTGTCTTCCACAGAACTGGAAGACTTTCTGAGTGTATATATAAGCAGTAAGCTCTTTTAGAAAGGAACATTTAAATGTAAAATTTAAAAGATGAAAGTGAGAATCAATAAATTATGAATAGTTTATTGCTATTGTGTAAATATGTAATCATGCAATCCAACTGTAGTCTGATGACGAGTATTTTAACCCTCTGGTCCTCTTCGTTTAGGGGTCACACTTGGCTCCTTCGCGGTCAAAAGTGACCGAAGCCTTGAAATGTTTTTTTTTTTTTTTTTTTCAGGAAAATCTGTGAAATACTTTTTTTTGGTTAATAATATGTTTTGATTATTATTTAGAATTTTGAGGGGATTTTATGATACTATGCAATATTTAAACAATTTGAATGAGCTATTTTATCCATTAGAATTAATATATTTTTATGTATTTAATTATTTATTATGTTTCAATAAATGCAATATTTCATGTTAAAACGTTTATTTAACATTGAAAACATTTCAAATCAATTTTTTGAAGTGAGAATTGTGCCATCTGGTGGCATTTAAAAAATAAAAACTTGTGTAATGTCATGTAAACTCCTGTGTAGTGCCCTATATGCATATATACAGAGGCCTTTGGATTCCCATTGTTTTTTTAGACATTTTTATTAGGTTTTACGTTTAGATATATATTTAGACATTCTAAAATACTACTTTTTGTCAAGGTTTAGATATTTTTGGTTAGATAAAAATCAGGTTTTGCATTATGATTTCAATCAATCATTGAATATTCTCAAAATTTGCTCTGTTGTAGTCTTACCAGTTCATTTGTGTGTGTGTGTGTGTGTGTGTGCGTGTGTGCGTGTGCGTGTGCATGTCTATTTTGTACTCTTGATATTTTAGAGAGTCACCCCTTGATTGCTGTGCGCTTTTGTTCTGCACAGTGGCTGATATGTAGTTTGTACCACCAAAAGATTCTCTGAGTTTTCGTATTTTTTCGTATTTCCCATTCATTTCCTATGTCTGTGTGTGAGACTTTTTATTTTATTTTTTACCCTTTAACATATCCGAATCATGTCCATGATTGTTTTTTTTTTTGGTGTGTGTTCACATAGTTAATGTGACAAGTCACCAAGTGTCATCTCATTCCAATGAGGCCACGATTTTTAACATTTCGAAATATAAATTTTTCCAGTCAAAAATGACTGAAGAGGCCCAGAGGGTTAAAATGTAATCTAATCTAATTACAAATGCTTAATTTTTGGAATCTGATTACGTAATCCAGATAACAGTCAGATAATCAGTTACTACCCATATCTGTGTGTACTATAATAAATATATATATATATATATATATATTAAACCTAAAGTAATAGTTCACATTCATATGTTCACTGTGGCTATATGATTGTGTATTGTTTAGGCCTGAGGATGATGATTTTGACATTGAAGAAGAGCTGCAGAAGCTGCGGCCCGCCCCTCGGCCCACACTCCAGCTGGAGCCGCGCAGCCGCCGCGGTCTGGTGGGAGACCCACGGGTCACTGTCATTCCTGAGGACGCGGGGCATGGGAACAGCGACGACGACGAAGAGAGCGATTCTGATGGACCCATCAATTACAGAGATGATGATGAAGATGATGACGATGAGGAGGATGTTCCTACAAGTATGATCCTTTAATTCTGTCTGACCAGCCGTATGAGGGTTATTGAGGAATATTGTACCTGTCCTGCATTAATAAGTGCATAAAAAAATCTTTGTAACGGCCTCCACTTTAAAACATGGAACTGGTGAATACGGTGTTAAAACTCTAATTGCCTTTGTTAGAAATTGTTATTCAAAATGTTGGGGTCAGTATACAATTATATATATATTTTTTATTAATTCATTCTTTAATTTGATTAATTTGTTTTTGAAGAAGAATATAAATGCTTTACTAACTTTAACTTTCTGTTCATCAAAATAATCCAGTAAAAATGTCATATTTTTTCAGAAAAATAGCAGCACAACTAGTGTGAGATAATAATCAGAAATGTTTCTTGAGCAGTAAATCAGAATATCAGAATGATTTCTGAAGGATCGTGTGACACTGAAGACTGGAGTCACGATGCTGAAAATTCAGCTTTGATCACAGCAATACATTATTTTAACATATATTCAAATAGAAAACATTTGAAATTGTAATAATATTTCAGTGTTACTGTTGTTACTGCACAGTGTATAGGTCAAATAAATGCAGCTTTGGTGAGAATAAGAGACGACTTTCAAAAAACATGAACAAATCTTTCCAACCCCAAATATTTGAATGATAGTGTGCTTTTAAGCAGTAGACTTTTTGTTGGCTTACAAGTAAATGCAATGGAGTAATAGTGTCATCTCCTTCAGAACGTAGTGATTTGCTCAAACTCTTTGCTGACAGATTTCTTTTATCAGTGCTTTAACCTTCTATGTGCTCAAAGCATGAATGTTGCAACTTTGTTTGCAAGTAGCATCAATACCAATTTGTGAAAACAGCTAATGAGGATTGTGCGTATATCTTGTCAGGTGGGCTTGCGAGCCGTGTGAAGCGTAAGGATACTCTGGCTCTAAAGCTGGAGCGTCAGCAGGAGAAAGAGCAGTCTCAGGACCAGGAGAGCATCACCTGGAACAACAAAGAGCAGTGGAATGCTGTCCGCAACAAGATCGGCACCACCCTCACAAGGTCTGTGTGTGTGTGTTCACTGTGCGTTTATGGGCTCTTTGTACTGTCCACACTCACACTGTGTGTATTTTGCATGTTCTCATAGGAGGCTGAGTCAGAGACCCACCGCACAAGAGCTTGAGCAGAGAAACATCCTACAAGGTCAGTCTTACATCCATTGTCTTCTAGTCCTCCGTAGCATTTGTTGTAGTCAGTCATAGCTGATGTAGTTCCCAATTTTGTGATGCTTCCAGAAAAGATTTTCTTAACATCCGCACGCTCTTTTGTTTCAGCCAAGGATGAAGCGGACCGACGGGCAGAAAGGAGTGAAATCAAGCGCAGACTGACCAGAAAGGTTTGGAGGCACACGTCCATCATCTGACTGTTTGTTTCTCATGAAAACCTCTAACGCGCTTAAATGCTTGGAATTACTTTTGTAGACACATACACTTCTGGTCACATGTTTGGAGTCAAGTTTTGTTTTTAAAAGAAATCTCCAGTGCTCACCAAGTCTGAATGCAAAATCAAAAATACAGTAAAATAAGTGCTATAGTGAAATACTATTACAATTTAAAATCACTTTTTAGATTTTAATCTATTTTAAAATGTAATTTACTCCCTTGATGGCAAAGCTGCATTTCTTCAATTAGAGATTACAGATTCAAATTAAAAATGTAATATCATAAAATATAAATGCTTGTTGACTACTCACCTATTTGACTTCTTAACTGTAACTGAATAGTGGACAAATAAATGTGAACAAAAACCTACAAACATTTAAATTACATGATTTTTCTTTCTAATTGTGGCAAAAATATTTTGACTGGTGCGAGTAGGTACTAATCTAGCAGAGCGTGAAAGCAAATGTTGCTGTTGTGTTTCTGTGTGCAGTTGTCCCAGAGGCCTACGGTGGCTGAGCTGCAGGCCAGAAAGATCCTGCGCTTTCATGAGTATGTGGAGAGCACTCACGCTCAAGACTACGACCGGCGCGCCGACAAACCCTGGACCAAACTCACACCTGCTGACAAGGTCCGACCCTATCACTGCCTTCCGCTGCCCTCTGCTGCTGACCGATATAGCAGCATTTAAATGGCATCTTATGTAAATTGTACAGTTACATAAAAAAACAAAAAAAAACATTTGCACGTAATTGAAAACAGGCAAACCTCCTTGACAAACAAATCTGATTTGAAAAGGCACATAGACACTGAGAGACACTGTTTCTCAACCGTCTTGACTGTAAAGCATCAGAATTTTATGTTGATTTTGACCAAATGCCATCATCATTAAGGTGTACTGTAAGTGTTTTATACGACCAGTGTTTATGTTGTTCTTTCTTTGTCCTCTTCCAGGCGGCCATAAGAAAAGAGCTGAATGAGTTTAAGAGCGCAGAAATGGAAGTCCATGAGGACAGCAGGGTATACACCAGGTGAGACACTTTTAACACTTTCTTAACTGGAATAAGTTACTACACGCAAGAATAGTCTGATTTTAAAGGGAATTTGGTCAGATACTGAAGAAACACCTTAACCCATCTACCAAAACCTGATTACCAGTCAATATACATATATCTGTATCTGCAGAGACATTCAAAAGTTTGGGGTCAGCAAGATTTTTTTTCATGTTTTTGCGAGTCTCATGCTCAACAAGACTGCTAAAATACAGTAAAAACAGTGATATTGTGAAATATTGTTACAAATAACAGTTTTCTATGTGAATATATTGTAAAATGTAATTTATTCCTGTGATCAGCATCATTGCTACAGTCTTGAGTGTCACATGATCCTTCAGAAATCATTCTAATATGCTGATTTGATGAGAAATATTTCGAATGAAAAGAAAGTTTTAAAGAACAACATTTATGTAAATGCAACTCTTTTGTAACATTAAAATGTCTTTAGGCAAGGCAAGGCAAGTTTATTTATATAGCACATTTCTTACACAATGGTAATTCAAAGTGCTTTACATAAAAGGAAGTAAAATAATCATAAAAATATTCAACAATAAAAAGAAGGAATTTTAAAACTTTTCAAATTATTTTAAAATGAATTAAAACAGTAGTCTAGCATGTGTTAATGCTTCATTTAAAAAAAAAACATTATTTTTCACATAATTTACCTTTATTTCACACCGCTCTGTTCCTTTTCTGAGAAACGCTGATCATTTCCTGCTCTTATGAAGCCCCGCCCTCAGAAATAGGCGATGGGCTCTGATTGGCTAGCTAGCCCAGTGTGTTGTGATTGGCTAAACCGCCTCTAGCGCATGTCTAATCGTCCCGCCCCTCACCTCAGCGGCATGTGCTCTGGTTGTATTGTAAACAACGGCGTCGTTAATATCGTTTATCAGTTTGAGCCAGATTGAGATGCAGAGGATATTGAAGAGGATCGTGCAGAAACTGTGCAAGCACGGCTTTTAATGGTAGGCCTATGTTTTTTGTTTGTTGTTGTCTCATACTAGATACACTGTTATTTGTAAACAATTTGGTTCTTTCTCATTATTTGACTTATTGGGAGCATATACAAGCTAAACAAGAGCGGTGCAAGTATTTAGCTTTGTGGGACTCCACATGTCATGGACGTCCACTTAGAAAGGAGAGGTTATTATGTGAGTATAGGAGAGCATAAGTCGAAGTATGACCTGAACCATTTGAGTTCCATCCAAGAAAGCCAGATCCAGTTTTCCAGTCTCTCTAGTAGTATGTTATGATCGACAGTGTCAAACGCAGCACTGAGATCTAGTAGTACTAGCACTGAAATTTTGCCAGAATCAGAATTTAAAGGGGTCATATGATGCGATTTCAAGTTTTTCTTTCTCTTTGGAGTGTTACAAGCTCTTGGTGCATAAAGAAGATCTGTAAAGTTGCAAAACTAAAGTGTCAAATCCAAAGAGATATTCTTTATAAAAGTTAAGAGTCAGCCACACCTACCTAAAACGGCTCGTTCTAACACGCCCCCACAACAGGTCACTATGTGGAAATATTAGCATAATGCACCCAAATGTGCACGCAAAGAAAGAAGGCGTGGTTTCAGGAACAGCAGTAGTGTTGATGCAGCATGTCAGGGAGACGCTGTGTGTTTCAGTGCGAAAGCAAAAGCACTTTATTTGGCCTTCTGGAAGTAGATGCAATTAGGAATCATTGGTTAAGATTTATTTACAACAGAACAGCACAACCCAGATGTTCGAATTTGTGCAACGCATTTTAAGTACAAGGCTGGCTGTGCACAAACGCTATTTCTAAAAAAAATATAAAATAATGTGTTTTTTGAACATTAAAGCATGTCAACATATTCTGTTATACCAAATACACAAAATAATGATCTTTAAAATAGCATCATATGACCCTTTTAAGCAAATATAATTTATTATCTTTATGAGGCGCTGTCTCTGTGCTGTGATGCAGATGGAAACCAGATTGAAAATCTGAGTTTATTAGTAGTTTGAGTTTTAGTAGTAGTTCAGCTGATTAAAAACAACCTTTTCTATAATCTTGCCTATAAAAGGTGAGTGAGTGAGTGAGTGAGTGAGTGAGTGAGTGAGTGAGTGAGTGAGTGAGTGAGTGAGTGAGTGAGTGAGTGAGTGAGTGAGTGAGTGAGTGAGTGAGTGTGTGAGTGAGTGATGATGATATATGCTGTCCACTTATGCCTTAACACTGGTAATTTTTTAGACTGACCTTCGAGTAATGAAGAAAGTCTGTTGACACAGATGTATGTAACACTGTTTCTCACGCTGAACACACACTGACTGGGTGTGGATCTGAAAGCACATCTTTGACATTCTCAGGACGTCGGCACGCAGTCTCACTTTCTTTTGTGCATTTTACTGAAATTGACCATACTTTGACTTTTTCACACAGATAAAACACCTGCTTTAATATTTTCACCTTTTTTAACAACATAGCACTTCACTTTAGATATTTCAAGGTGAATCCCACAAGAACACGCCATATTTTACCCAGAAATCATAAGAATTCACTAGATTTTATTATTAGATATTACTAGATATTATTTTCAGCACATTTTCCCCCTAAATTATTCTTATTATAGTGTTGGATATTTTACTTTTGAGTTGTTGTTTTTTTGTGCTTTTTCTCATGTGCATTGTTGTCAATTGTAATTATTGTTACTGTAATATATTTTATTACAGTAAAATACTATAATAATTTTTTTTTTTCATATTTAAAAGCAATAATATAAAAAAACCTTTTTCCACATATTACCATAATGAGAATGCAATTTTTTTTTTCCTTCCACAATGCCAAAAATTTTAATGATCCTAAAGCTTAATTTTCTTTAAGCAAAACTTTGTTTTTGCGCGAAATATGACCTTGACAGGTTTCATGAGATTCAGCTGTAAATGATGATATAGTCCACTGTTCATTGAACAATTTAAAACAAAGTGGTTGATGTTACATCATGGAGTCATTGTAAAAATCTTGGTGCATTTTTGAATGGTACATAAAAATGAAAACCTTTTCCACATCACTGCTGGTTTTATGGTACACTTTGTTTTGCCTGCCACCAGACGGCCTGTGCACTGTATAGAGACATGCTGTAGATCGTATTGTATATCTCGTCTTCCTGACATCAGAAATTAGTTTTAATTGTAATTATAGTATTACACTATCCTGTTTTTATAAGGTGCAAACAGAGTGACTACAGGTTAAGTGATACAAAACAGCTGTATAGTTGCTTTTTTTAATGTAAAGATATATTAAAAAGGTCTTTCAATTAATACATGTACATTCACTTCACAATTAATTAAAACTAAACCGTGAGCATCGTTTGGTTCATTTTTGGCTTTATTTTACGCAAGACATACTAGTTGTGTACTCATACGTGGTACATATCAGTGTTCCTTTGATTCCTCGTTTGATTTATTTTTACAACTATACTTAATGTGTTCACTTACACCAACAAATGTTTAAAAAATACCCTGTTTTTAACATTTACCATGGTGTAATGTGATAGGGTTTTGGGATGTATTTCAGTTGCGTTATTAACCTGCATAATAGTGCCTGTAGATGGCACTATTGATTCACTCAGAATGACCAGTTGTCTGATGTTTCTTATACCTGCCTGATCAAGAATTTAAATGCATAAGATGTATTATGTGTTTTTTTAACATTATTTAACAATGGTCGTGCGATGGTGATCCTTGTTCTTATAGTGTCTTGTGTTTAAACCGTGAAGTACTGGTGTCTGTCTGCTGTGGTTTCAATCTGTGAGTTAAATCTAGCTTATTTCATGAACACTCAGAAGCTTTTGAAATGTTAATTAACAAGCTTGCAAGGGGGGAATGCCATTGTGTCTCCTTTATTGATATGTTTATGAACAGCCCACCCATCATGACATTTTGAAGTTTTCCTGTATCATGAATTTGTAATGGCTTTCAGCCGCTCTCCAACCCCGGCACTGCACTCTCTGTCATCCACATACTGTCTCCAGTGGCCGTCTCGCTCTAACTTTATCTGTCTTTCGCAAAAATGTCCCACAGTTAAGTCCCGTTCACACCAAGAGTGATAACTACGATAATAAATTCTATGAGAATAGGGACGTCCACACCAAAGCTAATGATAAAGACACAGACTAGTCTCAGTCGTCACGTCTTCTGCCATCAGTTTAAAGGTTTAGCTACGTGAGACAATATCGCTGGAATGATTTTCAGAACATTTAACACTGACAGCAGGGTTGCCAGTTTTTCACAAGAAACCCCACCCAATTGCTACTCAAAACTAGCCCAATCGCGTTTTGAGGAGGGTCCCCCGGTAGACTTTATGTAGCTCCGCCCCTTTTATTGGGCTGCTTTCATTGACTTCTGTATTCCATTGTATTTTCACAGCGAGAAGGTGGTAAGGTCGTACAAATTTATGAACAAACTAATTGTTTTAAAATCTTACCGGTCTACTGACATTTGTTATGACATCTGCTTTGAACTTTACAGATAAGTAAATTCACTTCACCAGCGAATTGCCCTTCAACAGCGAGGCTATAGAGCTACCGCAAAAATGGAAATTCAAATACAATTGAGTTGAGAGTTTAGCTCCAACTAGTCTCAGCCACGGACCGCTGGCTGAATGTCTGATGCATATGGCACACAAAATGTAAAACACTTCAGGAGTTTTACATTTACATTTAGACATTTAGCAGACACTTTTAACCAAAGCGACTTACAAATGAGGACAGTGGAAGCAATCAAAATCAACAAAAGAGCAATGACATACAAGTGCTATAAAAAGTCTCAGTCTAAGTAAGTTAGCTTAATGCAGTACACATAGCAAGGTTTTTTTTATCATATACTAAATGAAAAGAAAACAGATAGAACAGAAAAAGAATAGAGCAAGCTAGTGTTAGAGGCCTTTTTTGTTTTGTTAATTGTATAATAAATAAAAAGAAAACATAGAATACAAAAAGATTAGAGAAGCAAGTGTTAGTTTTTTGTTTGTTTGTTTTTTTAAAGAAAACAAGCAGTTAGTAAATAAATAGAGTGTAAGGCCCAATCCCAATTCTACCCCTTAGCCCTTCCCCTT